ATAAGCGGACCCCTGGTGCTTAGTTAGCTAATGAGGATCTCGGGGCGCTCAACTACACATTTTAAACAAATATTAGGTCTATGAGTACTCAAAAACTTCCCAAATTTTACCGAAGTTGTGATGGTCTCAACTAGTTTTCGTAAAGCCTATTGTGAAACACACAAGGGAGAGAATTCAAATTATACACGTTTACTACCGTTTTTATTCGTCAAACGAAAAGAAGTAAACGTACATAAAGCCGAAATAGTACAGAATAGTAGTTCTACCAATACAAAAAACGAACATTTTACATTATAAAATCACAATGGATTGTGGTCCATAATAATAGATGCTATAAAGAAGCAAAAGTCGTTTTACTTAATATCTAGCGGCCTCTCGCGCGATGGACTTTCATTTATTTTTAAAAGAATTTTCCCGACTAGAGCGTGTGTTAGATTGTAGGAGAAAGAGTACTCGGGATGGTGTCTATACAAGGTAAGCCAACAGCAGCTGCAGTATTCTTTTGACAAAACAACCATCAAGTCAAAAATGCAAGAACATTTTTTTTAAAACTCTAAATAAATTGATTATGGTCGACTGTGGACCCCTAAACGACCCCCGCGCATTGCGGGGTCTGGCGGCACTGTAGTTCTGCCCCTGCAAACAGCGTGTAAATGCTGTTTCTTTGAACAAACACAAACATTTAAATATGGGAGACATCAATTTATTATTAAACGATAGAATTTTATCTGTTATCGCAAAAAACGTTCTTCTAAATAAATGTCTTTCAATTCTAATTAGTAATCAATACTACTACGTCTATAGATGACAACATATTTTTTTCTTTTGCTGAGACCTATTTGTAATTTAAATAAAAATTCAATTTGAGCTAGAACAGCCATTCTTTGAAAGTTCTAATGTTTGCAACATCAGCCGGAATCAGTTCACTTTTTTAACTGCACCATTTGTGTTGTTCTCCCCTTCATCGCGCAGTTTTTGCGCGGCATCCTCTCTGGCTTGCCTGTTGGAGGAGAGGTAGGCCCTGATGTAGAAGTTGATGAAGAGAAGGAGGATGGTGAGGATGTAGACTATGCAGATGTTCACGAATATTCTAGAAAACGGACATCCGAACATTTCATTCCAAGCAGCGTAAATGAGCAGCACGACAAACTGGCCCTAGTGAGACGAAAACATTTCAAAATCAAGACAAATACAATAGTTGTGAACCAGTTTGAAAACGATGATATTTTTTTTTAAATTAAAAAAAAACTACAAAAGTAGTTGTGGGCCATTTAGAAAAATTGGTTGGTTTATTTAAAGTAAAAATAAATAGAACAAAAAATACAACAACACATTATAAAAAGCTTTTGAAGGCACGGGAAAGTTTTTAAAAATCATAAAAATTAAAAAAAAGTCTTGACATAACGAACGACCCATATTGTTCTGATATAACAAACGAACCATACAGTCCTGATATTTTAACAAACGACCTATACTGTCCTAATACAACAAACGACCCATACTGTCCTTATACAACAACCGACCCATACTGTCCTGATACAACAAACGACCCATACTGTCCTTATACAACAAACGACCCATACTGTCCTTATACAACAAACGACCCATACTGTCCTGACTTACTATCTGTAGTTTGGTAAGATACTTCTTCCACCACAGATACTTTCTCATCTCTGGACCCAGGGCAGACAGAGCGTAGTACGAGTACATGATGACGTGGACAAAGCTGTTGACTATGCCGTATGCTACATCTGGGGACACAAGACGTTTTCTATAGTATTGTAACTTAACTCTAACCGACCACAGGTGCTTTGACCATAGGGAGTTTGACCATAGGGGGTTTGACCATAGGGGGTTTGACCATAGGGGGTTTGACGGTAGGGGGTTTGACCATAGGGGGTTTGACCATAGGGGGTTTGACCATAGGGGGTTTGACCATAGGGGGTTTGATCCTCTGCTGAGGAAACACCTGTGGTCAAAACCCCTATGATTGTCAAAGCTCCGCTATGGCCAAAGCCCCTATAATCAAAGCCCCTATAGTCTCAGCTCCGTTGTGGTCAAACCCACTATGGTCAAAGCACCTGTGGTCAAATGTCCGCGCACCATCGAGTTCTATGTAAGGCACGCCTCGAAGCACAACTGTTATTGACCTCACAAAAACAATGCGCGAGTCAACCGCTTAGTGTGATTAAACGTGAGTACTCACTGTTGCCCCCGGAGAAAAACTTGAGCCCAATCCAGGTGATGAGGGCCATGGAGGTGTGGTGGTACACGTGCAAGAAGGTCACCTGGTTGTGTTTCTTGCGTAGAATGAAGAACACCTGGGGTATAGTTTTAGACTGTTCAAAATCCATAACGGATGGTATAACTTACTGGTATGGTCTTCTTTTTCGTTCTCAATTTTTAGTGTTTGAAGGGATCGAGTCTTCTCTGCCAGAAGGTTTGAACTTTTTTCGAATTTATCAACCATGAGCTGGTGGGGTGAGTTTTACCTGTTTAAATTGCCATGACTACCGACATTATTTTTCGTCTTTCTTTTAAATATCGCCCTTTATATAGCTCCAATTCCTGCTAGGTACTTATAATAGCTGGGCGAACTGGCATATGTTTCCATAAAGTCGAGTGTTCGAATATTTTGTGGAATTTTCTTCCGTTTCAAAATTTTCAAGTTTTTAGAAAATTCTTTTATAACTTTCCAAAATTTTCTATAATTTTTGACTTACCGACCTAATAATGAATAAGCGACAGTTTTAATTTATTTTAAACAACCGTAAATAATTTCTAACACCCAAACTTCCAACAAAATGTTATTGAATGAGTTTTACAAGACTTTAACTAACCATTCTATTGAATACACAATCAATGATTAAGTAATACTCAAGAGTTCAATTATACTACCATATTAAAAGTAAAACTATTGAAAGTAAAAGCTAAACCTACTGTGTCAAGAAACTCGATATACTTTGATATACAGAACAACCAGCCCAAGTTCACGTACTGAAATTATAAAATTGTAATTAAGTTCTGCAATCAATTTATACTAGTATTTGATATCCTAATGTCATTAAAAGACTAACACATCAGCTTCATGTTGTGTTTTAAGTATGATCTTTAAACGTAATATGTCTAAATTTAAATTTTAACATAAATTCATTTACTTACGTAAAATATCTGTGGGGAAAAATAAATTGTTCATTAATGTTTCGAATAATAGAAACGTTATTACACATTTTAACTAAACATTTCACAGGGTAAATCATCAAAATCGTTTCTCGTTTTTAACCAAGACACAAGGAGCAGATAAAGTAGATAGTGTGGCTAGCACAATGCCCGACCGCGTTTAATTCCCTAACGTAAATCAGGTATCCATTTTAGCTGAGTGGACTCAGGATTTCATACAGTCTCAAGCCCAGGATACGGTTAGCTGTCGTATAGGCCTATACATAAAAATTCATGTTTAGGCTAGGTCAGAGGCGTAGCGAGGGGGGGGGGGCGGGGGGTGCGGACCGCACCGGGTGACACCAAGGCAAAAAGTAGCAAAATATACAGAGAAAAATGATATTTCCACTTATTTAAGTGATTAATTCGAGTGTTAAATAGTGTTTCAATAGATGCAAATTGAAAGTTTGAGGGGGGGGGGGGGTGCAAATCGAAAGTTAGAGGGGGGGGGGAGGTGCAAATCGAAAATTGAAAGTTTGTCTCCGAGAAGGGTCGCTACGCCTCTGGTTTAGGTTAGGTTTGCCTGTCGCCCCTCCTGGGACATAGGCCGCTGACAAGAGCTTTCCAGACGCCTCTGTCCTGGACTAGTCTCTCCATCTGTCCCCAGGTGTGTCCGATCTTCTTGGTGTCTTCTTCCAGGTCACGTCTCCAGGTCTTTCTTGGTCTGCCTCTCCTCCTCCTGCCCTGTGGATTCCAGGTGAGGGCCTGTCTTGTTATGCTGGATACAGGCTTCCTGAGTGTGTGGCCATTCCGTTGCCATTTTCTCTGGATTATCTTTACTTTAACTGGCAGTTGATTTGTCCGTTTATTTTACAGAAAAAAACCGTGGATTCTTATACCGTTGGCAATAACCATAGCTACAAATGCTTTTCGCCTCACACAGGCAGAAAAATATACTAATACAATAATATTTGACGGTGCAAAAATGTGTGTTACCCCAAGGTTGTTCGATAAGGAATAATATATGAAACTATCTGAAGATACTAGGATTATAAACGATTCTAAATCTATTTTGACAACCGATAAAAACGATACAACTGATGGTATGGATTATGTGGTATTGTGAAGACACTAAAGGAAATGGACAGAACAAAAATATTTTGACGATACTCAAGAAACAAAGATGCTCAAAGATAAGGGACATAACTCACCACATCCTCGTCCGATATAGTTCGCGTGTTGTTGGAGTTCTCACAGAAGACCTTGAAACCGCCCAATTTGATGATGGAGTAGATACCCTGTGGTTAGAAAAATATCTCCTCAGTAGAAGCTGATAATAGTTTTTTTTCACCACAAGAAACCTAGTTCTAAATTATCTCAATTGAAGCAGTCAGCTTATTATTACTACATGTCAAAACATTACATCAAGTTTTTAAGTGATCTATAAAGATTTTCTTCTCATTAGCAAACTAAACCATTGTTTTTATTACTATATAAACAGATTACAATGAATATTTTTTAATTACCTATGTCAACACATGACATCAAAATCTAAGAACATAATTATCTTTGAAAAATAGTACAAAATAATCCTAATATATAAAACGCCATGTGCGCTCTTCTCTCTCTCTCTCTCTCTCTCTGTCCGCAAAAAATTTTCGCCGGACATCACGTCAGAAACGGCAGCGATATATGGAGAACATTATACGGACTTTTGTTGAAAATAATATGTTAGATGTTTTAAATGTATAACCACAATTTTATTTAAAGAAGAAAAATAAAAATTAAAGGCGTATTCGAATGTAGAGAAACAGTATTATTTATGCAACCGAAAAAGCATTAATAAATGTGAAAAAGAACGCATAAAACTGTGACGTAACTATTGCTTATACATTAACTAATGACGTCATCTGCCGTGTTTAGAATACAAAGAAATGAACTATTTCATTCAAATTTGATTTAGATCTACGTACACTATGAAATGTATACAATACAATTTTTCCGGCCTAAACTCATAAAATTTATTTTATGTATTTGGATTCTAGATCTAGAGATTATAGATCTAGACTAAATCTAAATCTACGCAATAACTAGATCTAGACGTAGACGCTAAGATCTAGATTTAGACTCTAACTTCTCTAAAATCAATTCCAAAAATAAATTTCTATATTAGGACTAAACTATTTCAAGACTTATTTATTTTATACAAAATCTTTGTTTGGAACTGGCTAATTTGGGATAAAAAATTTAATCTAAATCTATAATGGGCCACGTTCGCACATCTCTCTCTCTCTCTCTCTCTCTGTCCGCAAAAAATTTTCGCCGGACATCACGTCAGAAACGGCAGCGATATATGGAGAACTTTATACGGACTTTTGTTGAAAATAATATGTTAGATGTTTTAAATGTATAACCACAATTTTATTTAAAGAAGAAAAATATAAAATAAAGGCGTATTCGAATGTAGAGAAACAGTATTATTTATGCAACCGGAAAAGCATTAATAGATGTGTAAAAGAACGTATAAAACTGTGACGACACTATTGCTTACTAATGACGTCATCTGCCGTGTTTAGAATAAAAAAGAAATGAACTATTTCATTCAAATTTGATTTAGATCTACGTATACTATGAAATGTATACAATACAATTTTTCCGGCCTAAACTCATAACATTTATTTATACAAAATCTTTGTTTGGAACTGGCTAATTTGGGATAAAAAAATTAATTTGAAAGAATAGGCATATTCGCGTTAGTTACGATTTTAAAATACGTCTTTCATTCTCTGTATTTTATAAAGTGCCTAAATAGCGGAGATGTTAGTGTACTATAAACCACGCAGGTGGTGCGGGTTCGAGACCCACCAAGTCAACTTGGTTAATTTATTTTTTTTTTGTTTTGCTCGGACTAAACTTAAAAAAAAAATTCAATTAGGATTCTAGATCTAGATCTAGATTGTCGGGTGTCCGGTTTAGGCACTTCCCGGCGCCGCAGACGCTTCAAATTTGGCAGGATCTTGCCTTGGGGCGACAGAGCACGGGGGCCGGTTGGCCGAAAAGTCTACGATGAGGGGGTCAAAACTGACCTCGACTGACCGGTACCTTATATGAGCTATAAATCGAAAAAAAATGTCCATGGAGGAACCTCTTCATAACTCTTGAGGTCGTAGACCGACCCTCGGGCGAATTAATTAAGCATTCAAATTCTCAATGTTTTCGAAAGCCTAAGCGAAGCTGGGCAGCATGCCTAGTTATTTTATAAAAGCCCAATGTGCGCACATCTCTCTCTCTCTCTCTCTCTTTCTCTGTCCGCAAAAAATTTTCGCCGGACATCACGTCAGAATCGGCAGCGATATATCGAGAATTTTTTACGGACTTTTGTTGAAAATAATATGTTAGATGTTTTAAATGTATAACCACAATTTTATTTAAAGAAGAAAAATAAAAATTTAAGGCGTATTCGAATGTAGAGAAACAGTATTATTTATGCAACCGGAAAAGCATTAATATATGTGAAAAAGAACGCATAAAACTGTGACGTCACTATTGCTTATACATTAACTATTGACGTCATCTGCCTAAATAGATGTTAGTGTACATTAAACCACGCAGGTGGTGCGGGTTCGAGACACACCAAGTCAACTTGGTTAATGTATTTATTTTTATTATGCTCGGGCTAAACTTAAAAAAAAATTCTTTTAGGAATCTAGATCTAGATTGTCGGGTGTCCGATAGGGCACTTCCCGGCGCCGCAGGCGCTTCAAATTTGGCAGGATCTTGCCTTGGGGCGACAGAACACGGGGGCCGGTTGGCCGAAAAGTCTACGATGAGGGGGTCAAAACTGACCTCGACTGACCGGTACCTTATATGAGCTATAAATCGAAAAAAAATGTCCACGGATTAAACCTCTTCATAACTCTTGAGGTCGTAGACCGACCCTCGGGCGAATTAATTAAGCATGCAAATTCTCAATGTTTTCGAAAGCCTAAGCGAAGCTGGGCAGCATGCCTAGTTATTTTATATTGATAAACCCAGAAGCTAAAGGGAGATAACTGATTATTGACGAACGAAAGTTGATCTAATAGAAAATAAATCTCACATAAAAAATAACAGTATTAAGTGAAAAGGCTTTTATTATATTCACAAAGAACACACACAATCACATATGAAAACAATGCAGTAAAGTAAAAAAAAAGAGTTTTGTGCACCCTTACTAATTGTCTAACTAATGAGATAAAAATTCGATATTCTTTTACTGGTCATCCAAGATTTATCTCTGTGCCAAATTTCAGCTCAATCGGACAATGGGAAGTGGGTTAAATTTAGATTCCAAGATTTCCCGAGCTTCACACACAGACACATATAGGCCTACTGAACACGCAAAAGCCTTTAAAAAATGCATGTTCTAGTGTCTTCGAAGCTACGTAAGAAAATATGAAAAAAATAATCAAAAGATAGCAATGTAAACCTTAGTATATTTTCGTAAAAAAAAACCTAACAACTTACCCCAAAAGTAATGATCGATGCATTAATGACCATAAAAATATTGTATATAAAAATTGGGATTTTCAAATTGATGGGCTTGCGGTGTTCCATCCATTTGGGACCTTGCCATACCACGAGTAAGTAGAGGACGGACAAGGCTAGGACCCCCGCTGGTGAGTCGAGTAGTGGGTAGCCATCACACAGTGGCTCTGGGGAAAATTTTTTTTTTAGTGATGTACATACAAAAGTTGCCGGCTAAAACGTATAGCAGAACACAAGAAATTGTTCTAGAAAAAGATCTTGTGATATAGCTACAAAAGTTGCCGGGTAAAATGCGAAACAGAACATAAGAAATTGTTCTAGAAAAAGATCTTGTGATATAGATACAAAAGTTGCCGGATAAAATGCGAAGCAGAACATAAGAAATTGTTCTAGAAAAAGATCTTGTGATATAGCTACCAATGTAAGCAGATAAAATGGAAAAAAACAACATAAGAAACGGTTCAAGAGATATGTCTAAATTTCCATGCGCTATAGATACAAAATTAGCCTGATAAAACGTATCGCAGAATATAAAAATTTGTGCTAGAAATATGTCTAAATGTAATATTCGAGAATTTAAAACACCTCATTATTGTATAATGGTACCTAACCTTAATACCTGTTTATTTTGACGTTTTAATTTTTTTTTAAATAATGAAATGATTAAGAGCTAATGTAATTAAAAGTGACAAAAAATATTCTTATTTTAACACACGAAACGTTGTTTATGAATGGGAAGGAAGGAGTCCTGCGCATTAGTAGAGCCTTTGGTTATAAATGCGATCAAAAAAGGTTCAAATCCCATGGCTATTTTGATACTTTCTACTACTCTGCCACAATTTCACACATCACTGACGTCACTTCCGCAACAGGACGCAACGTTAAATTACGTGGCTACACAACTAGATAAACTCTGCTCCATCTATAATTAAAGACCCAGCTATGCCTTTTATATAATTATTTTTCTTTTATTCTGGTACCTCTCTACAAATGACGTCATGTTAGTCACTCACACCACCCTACCCTAAGTTACACAAAAAACACAATTTACCTTACGTAACGGCGCTCTCTAAATCACCTACCTCTATACTTCATTATCTCGTCATAATAGGCGATAAATTGGTCGAGCAATTCCATGTTGGTTCCTTATCACTGCCTCCTATTTGCAGTAGATAGACCTGCAGAAGACGCCAAGACATAACACAATAAAACTTATTTTACGAAATATATATATATATATATATATATATATATATATATATATATATATATATATATATATATATATATATATATATGCACGTAAAATATGTTTGGAGGTAAACCTGAGAGAGAAACAGCGAAAGCTAGTGACAACAGACCTATAAGATGGTGTAGGATGGCTGACTTTGTATGCACTGGATTGTTATGTAAAACGAATAGACAGTGTTTTGCATAAAACATGACGTGTTCAACAGCCAACTTAGCAAAAATTATTAGCCGGAAGGCCAAAGACGACTGTTAATTAAACCATGTTTGATGCATGTATCGATTCACAGGGAGGTGAGAAATGAAAATGCTGTGTTGGTTGGGTGTAGGAGGGGGTGGAAGCAGGCGTTGTAACTCAAATAGCAATGTGTTGGTTAGGTGTAGAGGGGGTGGAAGTAGGCGTTGTAACTGAAATAGCAATGTGTTGGTTAGGTGTAGAGGGGGGTGGAAGCAGGCGTTGTAACTCAAATAGCAATGTGTTGGTTAGGTGTAGAGGGGGGTGGAAGCAGGCGTTGTAACTCAAATAGCAATGTGTTGGTTAGGAGTAAAAGGGGGTGGAAGCAGGCGTTGTAACTCAAATAGCAATGTGTTGGTTAGGTGTAGAGGGGGGTGGAAGCAGGCGTTGTAACTGAAATAGCAATGTGGTGGTTAGGTGTAGAGGGGGTGGAAGCAGGCGTTGTAACTCAAATAGCAATGTGTTGGTTAGGTGTAGAGGGGGGTGGAAGCAGGCGTTGTAACTCAAATAGCAATGTGTTGGTTAGGAGTAAAAGGGGGTGGAAGCAGGCGTTGTAACTGAAATAGCAATGTGTTGGTTAGGAGTAAAAGGGGGTGGAAGCAGGCGTTGTAACTGAAATAGCAATGTTGTGGTTAGGTGTAGAGGGGGTGGAAGCAGGCGTTGTAACTGAAATAGCAATGTGTTGGTTAGGAGTAAAAGGGGGTGGAAGCAGGCGTTGTAACTGAAATAGCAATGTGGTGGTTAGGTGTAGAGGGGGTGGAAGCAGGCGTTGTAACTCAAATAGCAATGTGGTGGTTAGGTTCATATTGTGCACAGGTGTAGTCTGACCTTCAGGTGGCTGTGTTGGTCAATTCGTAGTACAATACTCACAATTACCGTTCACTGTGGATATTCCGGTTGCTCGCGTTGACGTTTGTGCGCAAAAAAGGACATGCAAAACGAATGCGCAAAAAAAAAATACACAGCGAGAATTCCCGTTCCCGAACAAAAATGTCTTTTGTTACTTCAACTGTCTTTTGATTAAAAGTAATAATAAGAAAACAGTACGTTCAGTGTATAAAATAAATAAAAGGCAGTTTAAAATACCTACCAGGTTTCACTTGATCAATCACCGCTAATTATGTTAAAAAAAAATTCCCAACACCTAAACAAAGTAATAAAAGGTACATTTTTCCCTCCCGATGTAATGTTTTTTTATAAAGGGAAGTAATTTTGTTTTCCTAATTTATCAAGGGACGTAATGAATGTTAAAGAACTAAATGTAAATAATTTTCAGACATAATTAGAATTTGTGTAAAAGGTGATTTTAAAAAAAAAAATTGTTTAATGAATATTAATATACCTTGCTTATACCTTCATCATCAAAGAATTGCAGAAAAAAAAACAGATTTATAATTGATACATTTATCTAGGCTGGTAGAATTGTGCCATTTTAAGATAATGATTTGTTACAAAACGATTGGAATGGCTGACTCTTTGATTCTTTTCTTGTGAAGCATGCTAATTTTAAAAACTTGAAACACAGTGCAATAATATTAATAATAATAATAAATATGATGATGATACTACTACTACTGCTACTACTACCACTACTACTACTACTACAACTAAAAACAATAATAATAATATATATTAACAAAACTAATTATTCTTATTTTTATTTTTATTGATATCATTAAATAAAAAACAGGCAATAGCTAGTGTTCATTAATGTCTAATATTCCCATATTTTGTATTCGTTCATCACTAATGAAATTTATAGTTGCAAGTAGATGTGTGTAGTGTCAGTGATTTAGGTCTTCAGAAAGGGAAATAACTCCAGATAAAAACAGGTTGGGCACTGTCAGATGTTTTCATCAAAGTATCAGTGGCTAGTTGATAAACATGTTCTTTGGCTAACGGGAACATACCGTCACACAATTCAAGTTTTATTTTTCTCAATCAATATTGGAAATTTTCAAGCAATGTATTATGTATTTATATGAGTTAATTTGCATTTTTTTGTTATATACACAATCGTTTACATACCTAATCGTTGAACGTATCTAAGAAAACAAAACAATCTTTTTAAAAATTTGACCCCGGAATTCCCGGTATCCCAGAGGTCATTAATCATATTCTGCCAAACCAAAATCTGCTTTTTTAAAACCTGATTTTCCATAGGACAGAATATGTAGATTGTATATGTTGTTTTTACTTTCTCGTATACGAAGTATTGAGGAAATATTGTAATCGGGCAAACACTCGAATTCGAGACTTTCACAAATCTGGACGTTTTACGCCTGTTTGAGTCGGAAAAACATAATTTTGCAATTTTGTATCTTTGTCTCTCTCTGTATGTGTATTTGTAACACGATAACTTAAGTACCGTTACAGCTAGGTTGATGAAATTTAATATATAAGTAGTATATTGAATTTGTAGTTCTGTGTCAACTTTTCAGCGATTTCCGGTAACCGGAATAGGAACGTAGAGCTTGAGTAGGCCTACTGTTTCAGATAGATAAACGACATTTCACGAAATAAACGAATTTTCACACATAATTAAAATAACTAATTCTCTATATTTTGTCAAGTTTTTCCTCAACTATGATACTCATTGAAATGCCTCAGCCATGTTATATACTCATCGAACTGCCTCAACCATGTTATATACTCATCAACTTAGAGAGTCTCCCAAAGATTTCGTTAGAGAAGTATCAACAAACATTTAAATATGGGAGACATCAATTTATTATTAAACGATAGCATTTTATCTGTTATCGCAAAAACGTTCTTCTAAATAAATGTCTTTCAATTCTAATTAGTAATCAATACTAATACGTCTATAGATGACAACATTTTTTTTCTCTTTTGTTGTGACCTGTAAGTTCAAATCTTTGCAACATCAGTGGGAATCAGTTCACTTTTTTAACTGCTTCATTTGTGTTGCTCTCCCCTTCATCGCGCAGTTTTTGCGCGGCATCCTCTCTGGCTTGCCTGTTGGAGGAGAGGTAGGCCCTGATGTAGAAGTTGATGAAGAGAAGGAGGATGGTGAGGATGTAGACTATGCAGATGTTCACGAATATTCTAGAAAACGGACATCCGAACATTTCATTCCAAGCAGCGTAAATGAGCAGGACGACAAACTGGCCCTAGTGAGAAGGAAAGTGAAACATTTTTATAAAATATTTAAAACTAAAGACAATACAGTAGTTGTAAACGATTCAGTAAAGGTTGATTAAATGTTGCTGTTTTTTTTAAAGAAATAATATAGCTACAAAAAGGAGCAGTGGACAATTTATAAACATTGGTTTGTTTATTTAAACTAGAAATAATTACAAGCAATACAAATATTAAAAAAAAACATTATAATAAAGCTTTAAATGCACTGAACATTTTTAATAAAGAAATATTATTAAAACAAATGTGATTTCTTTAATTAAAGCATTGGCTATATCTACCTATTTTAGCGACCAATGCTTTTATTAAAGAAAGAAATTGTATGTTTTGTTACTTTCAACTTTTAATGCATTCAACAGCTTTTTATAATAGATTTAAAAAAAATATTTTCAATATTTGAATTCATTTAAACTAGAAATAATTAGAAAGTAAAGTGTTCTTAAACCATTTGTAAAATGTTGATTTTAAACTATAGATATTGTCCAGATATTATACCCATACTGTCTTTATACAACAAGCGACCCATACTCCACATACAACAACTGACCCATACTGTCCTGATATAACAAACGACCCGTACTGTCCTTACACAACAAACAACCGACTCTATCCTGACTTACTATCTGTAGTTTGGTCAGATACTTCTTCCACCACAGATACTTTCTCATCTCTGGACCCAGGGCAGACAGAGCGTAGTACGAGTACATGATGACGTGGACAAAGCTGTTGACTATGCCGTATGCTATATCTGGGGACACAAGAGATGGTCTGTGTTCTACACCATTGTAACTTTTTAACTCTAACACGGCCTCATTGAGATCCATGTAAAACTCGTCTCGAAGCTGAATCAGTGATTCTTTCAGACTTTTTTTTTCGGGGCAAGGGCGGGGGAGAGGAGGAGGAGGGGGAGGGGGAATTTGAATATTTCGGGAAGGGGGAGAGTGGATGGACTAAATTTTTCCCGGGGTCGGACACTGGTAAAAGTATGTATTTTCTATATAAATTCCATTTCGTTCGGTGACAGGGGTAGAGATGCCTGAAAGAAACTCAGAGAGAATTGTTACCGACCTCACAAAAAAAAAATAATGCGTGAGTCTACAGCTCAGTGTAGGTAAAGTTAAGTACTCACTGTTGCCCCCGGAGAAAAACTTGAGCCCGATCCAGGTGAGCAGAGCCATGGAGGTGTGATGGTACACGTGCAAGAATGTCACCTGGTTGTTCTTCTTACGTAGGATGAAGAAAACCTAAGGGGGGGGGGGGGAGGGAGAGGTCAAAGATCACTGGTCAAAATTGATAACACGTGGTATAACGTACTAATGGCCCAGTGCAGGGCTACCTATAGGGCAGATGAAGTAGAGTTTCCCTGTTTAAACAGCCCAGGCTTATGAAATGATTGTATGACTAAAAACTATTGCGCACAAATTGAACACAATAATATAATAATAGCTCGGTATATAGTACTTTAGATAGGAAAATTTAATTAATGTATAAAAAAAATAATTATGCATCTAATTAAGTCAAATTTGATGTCACATTGCATGGTCACCAGATCTTGATTGTGAGAAATATTCGATGCCTGAAAGAAATTTTTCTCGAGTTCTAATCCGGGTCAGTAGAACGTCCCTGAGTCCACCCAGCTGTAATGGGTACCTAACTTAGGTTAGGAAAAGCAAAAGAGGCTTGGCATAGTGCTGACCACACTACCCCTTCAAGGTCTCTGAATAAACACTCTACTTCATCTGCCCCTTGTCTTGGGCGGGAAAAGATGATGATCCACTATCTTCCGTACACAAACAATGATTTAGTAATAATTAACAGCTAAATTCAATGTTAAAAGTGCAACTATGTATACAAAAAAAAAACCTACTGTATCGAGGAACTCAATATACTTTGATATAAAAAACAGCCAGCCCAAGTTCACGTACTGAAATTTAAAAAAATTTAATTAACATCTGCGATCATTTTATGTTCATATTTGAAATCTTAAAGGAGCTAAAAGATTAATAAATCCGCTTCATTATGTGGGATGACGAATACGTTTAACCAAATAAAACTTAATTTCATTACTTACGTAAAATATCTGAGGAAAAATATAAGATGTTCATTAATATTTTTTCGTATGATAATAAATGATTGCATGTTTTTACAAGATATTACACAGTGTAAGTATTCTGTTTTTTATTGTCTGTATCTCTTCCTTTATAAATCCCTTTGTTTCTGTATTTATTATGACAAAAACAAGGTCTATTTGTTTTAGAAAAAAAAAGTTGAGACGTAGGCCTATCTATAAATACTTTAACCCTAGCTCTAATTTAAGCCTTGTTACCATGACTACCACCCTCACCCTCCCTGATGATACCAAGTTATTTTATAAACGAATAATATAATTAGCTAAATTCGTACTAGGTTAATGGACGGTACTAAAGCAATTTCGACAAATAATGAATATTATAATACTAAAGTTTTGGATTATGTAAGATAATTTAAGTATACGAATTATACTAAAGAAAAGGGAAGCTACTCAAAGATAAGGGGCATAACTCACCACATCCTCGTCTGAAAAGTTTCGTGTGTTGTTGGAGTTCTCACAGAAGACCTTGAGGCCACCTATCATGATGATGGAGTGGATACCCTGTGGTTAGAAAAAAATATCAGCTCACTAGAAGCTAATGACATGTTATCTTCACGATGGCACAAGGCATCACATTCTAAGAGATCTGTAAGGATTATCTCCCGTGCCAGAGATTATAAAAGAAATTGTTTTCATATTTCAACAGAATACTCAAAATTATAAATGATCTAATATAAGGATTATCGTCGAAAAATATCCAAATCAATTATTGCAAATTAATAAACTCATTATAGTGGGGGGGGGGGATTAGGTGAAAAAACATTTATTATTGATGACCAAATGATAACTAAATGGAAAAAAAATAATAGATGCATGCAATAATGAACAGTAAATTAGAAATGTTTGGATGCTACGTAAGAAAAAATAGCTTATATCTTTTGCAAAAATGAAATAAAAACTAACAATAATTCAACCCAAGAGAAATGTTTGATGCATCAATGAAGATAAAAACATATATGAAAACTGGGTACTTTAAAGGTTGATCGACTTGAAAAAAAAAGACAATAGCTAACCCCAAAAAGAAATAATTTATGCAATTATAACCAAACAAATATTATATTAACTTTTTAAATTAATCGGCTGGAAAAAACAATAACTCACCCCAAAAGCAATGGTTGATGCAATGATAACCATAAAAATATTGTAAATAAAAATTAGAACTTTTAAATTGATGGGCTTGAAAATAAACAACAACAATAACTCACCCCAAAAGCAATGGTTGATGCAATGATGACCATACAAATATTATAAATAAAAATTGGGACTTTCAAATTGATGGGCTTGCGGTGTTCCATCCATTTGGGACCTTGCCATACCACGAGCAAGTAGAGGACGGACAAGGCTAGGACCCCCGCTGGTGAGTCAAGTAGTGGGTAGCCATCACACAGTGGCTCTGGGGGAGAATCACAACAAAAGTTGCCAGATAAAATGTGTAACAGAACATGAGCAATTTTGTTGGAAAAATGTCTTGAGATATAGGTTCAAAAGTTGCCAGATAAAATGTGCAACAGACATGAGCAATTTTGTTGGAAAAATGTCTTGAGATATAGGTACAAAAGTTACCAGATAAAATGTGCAACAGAACATGAACAATTTTGTTGGAACAATGTCTTGCGCTCTAGGTACAAAAGTTGCAAGATAAAACGATCATCAGAAATTTTGTTATAAAAATATTTTGCGTTATAGGTGGGGTCGTTCATAAATGACGTCACACTCGTATGGGGTCCTAATTTTGTGACGGTGTGATGAGGGGGAGGGGGGGGGGGGTTCAGATGGTGTGACGTCACACTTTTGCATTTATAAAAAAAGCAATGTTAGAAAATAAACTTTAGCCGTTATTTCGCGTTTTAGAAAACTGTTTTAATAAATTGTAATAGGAATTGATTAAAATACTCTGTTGACAGAAAGTTCAGACAAGATTTTGGAAAAAATATCGTATTTTAAGAAAAATTGAATTGCAATTTTGAGGGGGGTTGTAGGATGAGCTGTGGCGTTATCTTAGGATGGATCTTTCTTTTTTAGTGATGTAGGGGAGGGGGGAGGTAAAAATCGTCAAAAAAAGTGTGACGCCAATTATGGATGACCCCTAGATACAAAAGTTGCCTTATAAAACGTGTAATAGATCATCAAGAATTTTGATAGCAAATTGCGTTAGATAAAAAAAGTAGCCAAATAAAACGTGTATTACAATCAGGCTATAAATATTTCTAATGTAAAAAAGCGGGCCTTTAAAAAAACACCTCATTATAAGAAAAGAAACCTAATTTGAATATCTGTTTATTTTTTATGTTTTTTTTTAACTAAGAGCAAATACAATAAAACACTGTCAAAAATTTCAAACTTTATTTCTCATATTACATCCAAATCTTTGTATAGAAGGACTAGGTACGGTGCAGAAGTAGAGCTATGGTAATAAATGCGATTGACAATGGTTCAAATCCCACGCCTAGTTCCATATCTTCGACCACTCTACCGTCATATCAACACACCAATGACGTAGCCTCCGCACCATGACGCAACGGTAGATTCCCTGGCTACACAGTTAGATGAACTCTACTCTACTCCATCTATACTTAAAGACCTTGCTATACCTTTTATATAACCTTTTTATACTCTGGTATATCTCTATACATGACGTCATCTATACATTGCTCACACAAGAATACATACACACCACCCTACTTTCAATTACACAACACATCCTTACACAGCAACACTCTACCCTTAATTACAATCACTTACCTCTATACTTCATTATCTCGTCATAATAGGCGTTAAATTGGTCGAGCAATTCCATTTTTTGGTTCCTTATCACTGCCTTCTATCTGCAGTAGATAGGCCTGCAGAGAACGCCAAGAAATATTGAAAATATTATATTTTGCAATATATATATATATATATATATATATATATATATATATATATATATATATATATATATATATATATATAAATATATATATATATATATATATATATATATATATATATATATATATATATATATATACATACATATATATACATATACGTACACATTATATATATATATATATATATATATATGAATGTAATGGAAGTTTGGATGTAAACCTGAAAGAGAAACAGCAAAAGCGGGTGACGACTTGCCTATAAGATAGTGTCGGATGGCTGACTTTGTATGAATTGGATTTTTATGTAAAACGGATATCGTTTTGCATAAAAAATACAGTTTTCAGCAGCCAATTTGGCAATTATTCCGAAGGCCGAAGCCGGCTGTTAATTAAACCTGGTTAATTGCATGCATCGATACACAGGGAGGTGAGAACTCGAAAGATTGTGTTGGTTAGGTTCAAATTGTGTGCAGGTGTGGTTATACCTTCAGTTGACTGTCTTGTTCAGTTGCTGGTACAATCCTTACAATTACAGTTCACTGTATCATTACCGGTAGCACGCGTTGACGTTTGTGTTTTACGTATGTCGAAATCTAACCAAAACTTATTCCTTAACTAGGCTAATTTCTTTCAGATAAAATAAGCAATGAATTTTCACAGGAAAAACGTCACGCGTTATAATTGGGATGGCATATCCGATTCGCAGAGCATGCGAATGCTAACCCGAAAGTCTCGCGTTCGAATACGGATTCAAGGCTGTAAACCTCCCTGAGTCCACCCAGAATCAATTTGTATATTTTTAACGGATTTCTGTCATTGTCATAAATACTTTTTCAATACAAAATAACACATCTTTTGAAATGTATTCATCCATTGCAACTAGATTAAGTTAAAAAAAAACTTAAGAGACGATGATGAATAATGGACAACATAAGCAATAAAAAGCGAGAAACAGATGAATAAAACTGGTTGGCTTGCCATATTAACATGAAAAGACTTGCCAAACGTTTTGAAACAACTCATGCCTTAAGTCAGTTTGATCTTTAAATTGTGTATATTTTGTTATGGACTATGTTAGTATTCCCATAAAAGATGAAGAGCTTCTAGCGGATTCAAACGTAGTAAAAAAAAAGTATTTGGTCGCAATGATACTCATTTTCTTATTCATTAAAATTTAAAGGAAGAAGTTCAGTAAAAAGTGCGTAACTTTAAAAAAAACCCATTAAAAATGATAATACTTATATATGAAATTTCATCGAATTAGCTGTAGCGGTACTCAAGTTATCGTGTTTACAGACATACACACACACACGGACAGAATTGCTAAGCCCAGTTTTTTTCCGACTCGATTACGCGTAAAACGCCAAACTTTTCATAAATCTGGATTTAGAATTTTTGCCCGATTAAAATAAATCCCATATACTCAGTAGGCCTATATGACGAAGTACTGAGAAAACCTAGAATAAAGTTATTTAAGAATATTCGAGAACGTTTTGGGGATATCACTCCCGGTTTATTTATTGCACGATTACAATACTTCCTCTATACTTTGCATACTAGAAAGTAAAAAGCGAATGGAAAGGGAAATAACTTAAAATTTAAATTGAAAAACACACAAACTGTGCAAACACATTGCTTAATTGGAGCTTTAAACTAATTGAAAATAAATATAAATTTTTAATACTAAAAATATTGTATAATATAAATATTGCTAATTTTTTTAAAATCTAATGTTTTATTTTATCTTTATCAAAAACTAAAAGAGAATAAGAATATGTTTTATATTTTGGTATAGTTCAGATCCCTTTCGATAAGCGTAAGAGTATTTTAAAAGTCAGTTAGAATCTATATATTTTGGATCCCCATTTGGGGACGATTTCAATATGAAGACCTTGATGTAATTAATTGTACCGAATATGCAATGATAATGTTAAATGAACAGGACAATATTTTAACAGATACTGAAAGAGTCTCCCAACCTCCTGGTGATAACAAGAAATTAGAAAACTGAAAATGTGGACAGTGTACCAGTTCCAGTGGGGTTTAATAAGCTGCTGGAATTTGAAAGAGACAAGTACACAGAGGCGTAGCGACACTTCCCGGCGTCCGGGGACAAACTTTCGATTTTCACCCCCCCCCCCCTCGAACCTTTCATTTGCACCCCCCCTCAAACTTTCGATTTGCACCCCCCCCCCCTCAAACTTTCAATTTGGCGCCCCCCCCCCTAAGGGGAGCCATGCAGCCAAGACATTTATACAGATAGTTAAAATGTTTTTGTTCCAGTTGATCAAATATATATATATATATATATATATATATATATATATATATATATATATATATATATATATATATATATATATATATATATATATATATATATATATATATATATATATATATATATATATATATATATAAAGAGCATCTGCTTAAAGAGGTGGTTACCATGAACACGTTTCGGCCTCGGGATCTCAGTATTCCAGTTGTGCCACTCAGCTCTCTCACCGTACCCAGCAGAGCTTCTTCCAGGAATCCCTTCGGGGAGGCTCTGCCACCCCCCCCCCCCCCCGAAAAATTCTACCGCTCCCCGAACGAAATGAAATTTCTATAGAAAATATATCATATTTCCGATTTCTCAAAAAACGCATGTAAATTTATAAAGTACTAATAATATTGCGCACTATTATGAACATCTTTATTTGGCGTTCGCTTGGTGCGCAATTCTTTTTTCTATGAGATGCTATTATATTTTAAAAAGTTTAAGTATTTAAAATTGATTAAAAATCATAACTATATCCCGAGTTCCCATCCCCTGTTGTTTTATATAAGAATATTCGAGAAAATTTAGGGGAGATCACTCCCGGTTTATTTTTTACCTTGTTCAAATCTTTCCTAACTTTGCGACATCACAGATAGTGAGATAGTGTGACGTCGCACTTCTGCATTTTAAAATAAACAAATTTTTAGAAAATGATTTTTAGCCTTTATTTCGCGTTTTGGAAAACAGTTTCAATAAATTAGAATACTAATTGATTTAAATAGTCTAGGTTGACCAAGCCCAGTCAATATGTAGCAAGAAAAAAAAAAGATGTTTAAAAAATGTACCAACAATGTCAAGATGGATTTAACCTGAGGCATGTGACTCCACTTTAGGTGGGAATGTGACGATGTGTGACGGAGGGAGGGGGGAGGTAATTTTTTTTTTAAGCGTGACGTCATTAATGGATGAGCCTTTATTGTTTTTTTTTTATAAAGTACTGGCGTACAGGACGAATGTTGCTGCGATCTCATTTCTGTTGTGTTTGAAAAATTTATTTAAAAAAAAAAAACAGCAATGATCTTATGATACAATTGATCTGAATGTGTAATATTTTAATTCGGAAGTTTAGGTAGAGATTTCTCTTTAGACCCACCGATCCATTAGACAGAAGAAGTAGAGTTCATTATGTTCATTGACCTCGGCATATGAAGGGCTAGTATGGTCAGCTCTATGCCCAGCCGCCTTTGTTTCCTTAACGTAGGTTAGTTACCCATCACTAACTTGAACCCGGATTCGAACTCGAACCTATCGGGTTAGCCGTCTAGCGCTACACCACTATGCCACGCCGTCCCATACGCTTTTGATTAAGATACACATTATACTAGAATTTCTTGGTATCGTTTAATTAAGGTAATGATTACTACTTTATAGTGGAGTACAATTAATTTCAATATTTAAAAATACATTTTAAACTGTCTTTCATGCTGCTTCATTGTTAGCGTTATTGTTATATCTATTAGATTTATAAAGATGTCCAACATTATGATTCATTCTAGAATACACATACGCAAGTCACATACGATTGTCTAAGCATACATTCATACACTCAACTCAAATACAAGCCCACAATCATATACACGTAAAATCAAATACACGTACAAGCTTATTCACACAAGGATAAAAAACCGAAAAATAAAAGCGAAATCAAGTAAACTTTCGGACTTCGACCGGTCAATATGAAGCGATATTGGCCAATGCGCGCGTTGGCCGGCCAATGTGTGTTTTGGCCGACTTCGGACTTTGACCGTAACATATATACAAAAACGAATGCCCATAGGCAGTGGCGTAGCGAGGTCGGGTGTCACCCGGTGCGGCACTTAATGGTGTCACCCCCTCAGAGGCGTAGCGACCCTTCCCGGGGACAAACTTTCAAATTTTCGATTTGCACCCCCCCCCCTCGAACTTTCGATTTGCACCCCCCCTCAAGTTTTCGATTTGCACCCCCCCCCCTCAAACTTTCGATTTGCACCCCCCCCCCTCGAGTTTTTCTCTATATATTTTGCTATTTTTTGCCTTGGTGTCACCCCCCTAAATGGTGTCACCCGGTGCGGTCCACACCCCTCGCCCCCCCCTCGCTACGCCCCTGCCCATAGGCATGTACAACTCAATAACAATACATATAAATGTTATTTATTCTTTTCTGGGCTTAAAGCTTGTATTTCCCTGCAACAAATTTCCGTTTGGTTTACTTTACATATTTTCACAAGCCAATTTTTTAACAATGGGTGATGGAGAAAGAAAAGTACGGACAAATCTACCAGATAATCATAGAGTTATTACAAATATTGGATTTAAGAGTGACTGTAGCAGAGCCATACGACTTTCAATTATCGTCTATCGTCCACTTATTTGACTATTCAAGTTCATTGAAATCTTTTTGTTTTGTTTCTTGCTGATAACATATATAAATCTTTCGCCCCGTACGATAATTTACAGCGTTAGCTTTGACTGCCAGCTTACTGTAGTACAGGGGTCTCCAAACTTTTCAGCCCGAGGGCTGCATTAACTATCAAATATCAGTTCGGGGGCCAGAGTTTCTTCAAAGCATCTCTTCGGGGGTGGTGTCGCCCCCCCCCCCCCCCCCCCCGAAGAACGTCTACCGCCCCCCCCCCCAACGAAATATAATTTATATAGAAATATATACAAATTTCAAGCCCCCCCCCCCCCCCGAAGAAAATAGTCTGAAAGATACACTGTCGGAGGCCGACAACACACTCGAGGTCTAAGTTTGCTCACAAATTATTCTTCACTTATTTCATTCTTGAAAATGTTTCTTCACACAGGTATGATGTTCCAAAATTTGAAAGGTACTTTGATGCAAAAGTTTTAATATTAGGAAAGTCTTCCTTGTGCAAAAGCTTATAAAAACCTACCCGCCCTTCCGTGGTAAAAAAAAAACAAACAAAACCCGCGGGCCGGATGAGAGGACCTCGCGGGCCGCATACGGCCCGCGG